CGACTCGTCAAACGTGTTTTCAGAGATACAAGCCGCCAAAGACGCTTCTTTATACGAGCAAAATTCGTATCACAAAGCAACGAATCGCTCCTATCGTATTCGAGAACGTGCGAGTGAGAGGCGTAACGTAAACTTATGGCGGTGCGAATGAAATAGATTCAATAGCAATTGTAACAAGGATTTTCGTACGTGAAGTTGCATTTTAACTATCATACAAATATTTAAAGTAAATTTTTTCAAAGAAATTTCGTGCAAATAAAAAATTACCCCGAAAAAGATTCAACTGGTCGCGAGCATCAGAATTGTTTTAACAATACAACTCATTACAGTACATGTACAACTCATTTTCGCAATAAGTTGAAGAAAAAAATAATGCTCATTGGATAGTAAACCCAAAAACTAGTATAATGATAATTTAGTAATTTTTAATTAGTTAGTTTGTTTTTGCTATTTTTTTGAAAAATGTATTTGATCTTAGCAATAAAGTTCTATTGTTCTGGAACAATTGCTTCGAGATACGAGCAATTCAACATGCGATCGTGCTTACGGAACGAATTAAGCTCGTAAGGCGGGGTACCACTGTACTGTGATATTGAAGGTGCACCACGTTGTTGAAGATGATGAAATTATCAAACTATCAAATTGACTGCGATTAAATTTTCAAACTGACGTTTAATGCGTTGAATTTTTAATTTTAACCGTTAAATAAACATTTTCTATTTTACAAGTTATTTCAGTACATCGTGGCTGATATTTATTTTTGTTCAAGCTATTATTGTCTAAGATTAATAGTTAAATATCACTCAAATTTGATTTTTCTATTTGTCCAATAAAAGTACTTAATAAAATTTTATATGAATCTTATAAGATTCCGCAATGTAAAATAAAATTAATTATATAAATGTGTGTCACAATAATACTAGTTATGTTCGACATAAGTATGTTTATGAAAAAATATTGATATGAGGAGTATATAGATAAGATTTATTTAAAATATAACTGAAAAATCAGTATAAATACGAGTACGTAGTATAAGTAGTGAAATTACTTACACTTTGTTGAATTTAGAGATATTTAGTGATAATTCAATAGTAAAATAATTAAGCCATTGATATATTACTTCGTTATTTTATACGACTAATCAAAGGATTTAAATATATATATATGGTATGTTATGAAGAATTGATGTTTGTTTAAGAATATTGTCGCGATATTGTTATATTTATAATTTAGTTGTGATATTTTGTGAATTGGAATTGTATCTTTTTTATATAGCAGTAATTCAATTATTAGACCGAATTCATAATTAGTGTTAGATAATTACTTTTCGGGATACAATTCCGAAAACTTAAGTTATTTATTTGTTAAAAAATTATTCGCCAAATATGGTTATTAGTTGAGTCAATGAATGTATCAGGTATTTCGAGAGTAGTTTTATTGAAATATTTTGTTTGAAAAATCCTAAGAATATTGTTCCATAAGCAGATTACAATCTAAAAAAAAATTTGATAAATAGTAAACCAATTTTTGCTCAAACTTTCAAGTGATATTACTACATATATTTGTAAAATGGGGGATATAAAATTATATTATTTAATAATGTTCACTCTTATCATTCAAACCTACTATTTAATTGCAAAGTATTTACTCCTACCAATGTATAGATATTTTATTTTTACTTATTTAGCTGATTATTTTCGATCATATAAATATTTTCTTTATGTAATCTGGAAATTAAGTGTTGTGTAAATTCAGATGAGATTAAGGAGATACGTTATTTATTTGTTTAATAATTAAATTCGCCAAATCATAAATGTTTGGTTTTTGAAACACTTAAGTCTAATTTATTTTAGCATATAGCTTTACGTTTTTATCCATTTTTTATTTTATCTTATATTTATTTTATCTACGTTTAAGAGGTAAAAAATAAATACAAAAAATGTATAAATTTCTAAATAATTTAAGAAAATTTGATTAAATTATAATTTGATTAAAGTGTTGCTCCAAATATGGATAACAAAGTCAAAGTTGATAATAGACTAATTAATTATATTTATTGAATTTTTGCAATTTCAATATAATTTTATTGTTTTTTATTGTTATTTTAATTGTTATAAAAATAATCTATTTAAAATATATTATTTTAAAAATAATTATTTAAAAAAAAGTTAATTCATTGGATTAATTATCGTTGTAGGAGACTTCATGCTAAATTAAATTATATAAAATTAAAATTATTTTTACTATTTTTATAATTTTCCTAAAAATGCTTCATTGACTCAACTACGTTACAGAGTTGAAATTCTTATATATAGATGTATGAAAAATAGTAACAAGCTGATTACATCATTTCAAAATATTACATTATAAAATTATTATTAAGGCAAATTGTTACAATTGATGGGATTACTAAGTTAACAATATATAGTCCTATCAATGTAGTCTGATGACTCTGCATACGCCCAAAAATGCAAACGCACACATACATATATATACATATATATACACACATATATATATATATATATATATATATATATATATATATATGTATGTGTGTAAATAATTTACATTTACCAGTGGCACAATTATTTATTTTGTACCTTTACGTGTGTTACTCTAAAATGATCTGTTACTTCGTTAGAAAACTCGATATCTTGTAAGTCTGTACATATAATTATTAGTCATTTTAAAATAAAAACTCATTAAAAAATACTGCACTCTTATTTTGCTAGGAGTTTGCTCTAAAAAGAAATGAAAGAGTTTTTGAGACCATTCACCAAATTATATTTCAGAAGACCTGAATACTTTTTTTCTTTCATAGCCTTATGCAACTTTCTGAATAGTTACCAGTTAGACGTGTTTTCAAACACTTTTTTTTATTTATTTCTCTAACCAATCTGAGCCTTGGTTTCAATGAGGTTATTTGCTGTTGGGTACAAGGCATTAGAAATTTCCAAGTGAGGAATTTACTTACATAAATATATTGATTGTTAATTCATTAAATCTTGCTGCCACTTTCTTTTCGGTCTTCTGGTGGAAACTTGTTTTTGCAGATCTATTATTAGTGTGTTTGAATGGTATGCACTCTTTTGATGATATTTCGTACTTCTCTCCTTGATAACCTCCTGTACATATTTGATGTTTAGATCTTGATGAATTATTTTGTTGAAGACATACCAGGGCGCGTTTACTATGGCTCGTAATATTTTTGACTGTGCTCTTTGGATGGTTTTTATATTGGACGTGCTCGCACATGCCCACAGCTCGATACCGTATGTCCATATTGGTACTATTACAGCTTTTTACATTAGGATCTTGTCCTCATATGACATCTTAGAGCTTCTTCCAATTACCCAGTAGAGTTCACGAAATTTTTTGTCTGTTTACTTACGCTTCGCCCTGATGTGGGTACTCCATGTGAGTCCTCTATTGCTTTTTGGAATTTCTACATTGTTGATTTTTATATTTGGGCAATCTCCCTTTCTTTTGGTAAAGGTGATGTGGACTGACTTAGTTGAGTAATAGTAATTTTTCATTTATGAGTCCACTCTTCTAGTTTGTGTATATAATATATAATGTTGCAGCTGTTCCGAAGCCTTTGTGGCGTCTTCGTGAGTTGATAAAACCATGGTGTCATCTGCAAATGTTGTTTGAGTAACAAAAGTTTGCAATCTACTACACACATAAAATATGACATTTCTTTCATTTATTAGAATACTAAATTTTCACAATATTCATAAAATTGTTGTACAAATGAATATAAGAATACTTACCATAAGAATGAATAATAATGAAAATGTTTGAATTTAATATGCATCAGTTGTAATAAATATATTTTATGTCATATATCACGGGCAGATAAAGTATTTAAAATTGTTGCTATTGTCGTAACTAATAAAAAAAAACATGCAGATATATAATAGAATATTTTCAAAATGTATTGAAACAAAAAAACAAAACTCATTTTATAACGTCAAATTATGTATAAATAATAAAATTATTAGTTTAAATTCCTTTCGGTACAGTTTTCATTATAAATATGTTTCATCTCAGAAACAAATTCAAATTCTAAATCCAATCCAATAATGCTGAAAAATTCTTATGTCGGTATCTGTCAAAAACCAGCAAAGAGTCGAAGAAATGCAAAGAACTCAGGATGAAAGTTGCAAAAGGTAAAGATGGATGTCCCACCTGTGTGCCACCAAAGTGTCCTCCGCCAAAACCGCCGCCGTATGTCAAGGTACGATTGTTTTTATTTATTCTTAAATTTTCTTTGGATTCACGATACAGGATCATAAGATTAAATCGTATCATTTTTTGTAATAAAATATGTATTCATATATATCATGTATCAGACGGACACATTGCTTTGTGTAGAAGACACATTAAACATTTTTACAACAAAAAATTCCTATAATCTATTTAACAAGTATTATTTACATATCTACACACAGAACTTTAACTTCTTGAAGAAGTAGTTGCTTTTTGCGAGAAAATCCGACTCTCTTATTCTTTAAAATAATATAGCTTTTGGAAAAAACGTACATGTTTTAGCCAAAACTCTAAACCGATTTTAGAAATTCAAAAACTGTTTGAAAGATATTGGTTTGAGAATTGTGATGATTTGTTCTTGGTAAAATTAGCCGAGCTGTTTCTTCATACTATTTTTAAGAAACTGTTTTAGACGATAATGATTTTAGTCTATATTACGAAAAGTGGTTTCTATCAAAGTTTGAGAAATTGAGCGTGTTCTTGACGTGTGTCAAAATTTGACCCTTCGTCGACATAATCTCAAGAACTACTGAACTCATTTCAAAAATTTTAAAAGTCTACTACTGGTTAGTTTTTCGAGTCGATTATTCGGGCCGTTTCTTTGGTAAATTGTTTCTCGCAATATGATGCTCTACAGAAACTCAATTACTTATAAATCTCATTATTGATTAGTCCATTATATACTAATGTCCGGGCATTCAACAGCTTAGCTTAAGGACAAATGCCACTGACACCTTGTAGCCTTTTTAACTTCTCAATGGGTAAGTTATAGTAATCGCTATAATAGCTATTGATACAGATACGTGCTGATTAGTTTTTGGCTTAGGCAGGTCTAGCCGTTTCGAAGATAAGGGGCAAAAAATGCTACAAACGGTAAACCAGTTTTTAAGAGAACGGAGCGTCCTATTTCAATAATTCAAAAAACATTTTACTTGTATTGACGATAGAATTTTCATGACGGCGAATCTAGCGGTTTCGGAAATCTAGTAAAAAAAGTAAAAAAAATGCCATTTGGCGATTAAAAATTATCATTAGATATATGCTCATAAAATTATCAAATATTTTATAGAGATTTTAACAATAAGTATAAATTTTGTTTACATTCCTATGGGTTGCGTACCAATGTTTATCCGTTAGACGGGGACGCGGCGCTTACGCGCTTTGATATTTTGCCTCTATGCAGTTAAAGCAGTACGATTGCTTTAAAAAAAATTCAAAATTTCCAAAATATTTCAAAATAAAAAAAACATTTTTTTTCCAAGAAGTATTTTTTTTAATATTTTGTCAAAAATTTATAGTTTCTCAAAAATCTAATTTTTTCAAAGTAAAAGTTTTTTAAAAATGTTAATCTCATAAAAAAATGGTACGGGAAGTTCCAGTAATTTGCCTGCGCCCCACTAGTTTTTTAACTTCCCAAGTTATAGTAATCGCAAAAATCAAAATCAAATTTTTTTATATATCTGTTTTGAAGGTTTTTGAACATTTTGGCATACCTAGAAAAAAATGGATGTATTTGTGTGTGTGCTAATTTTCGTCGATGATTTCGGGAACACCGATCAACCGGTTTGAATAATTCAAAAATCACTCGATTCGTATTGATAAGGAGACGTGCTGATTAGTTTTTGGCAAAGGCAGGTCCAGCCGTTCCGAAGATACGGGGCAAAAAGTGCCAAAAACGGTAACTCAGTTTTTAAGAGAACGAAGCGTCCGATTTTAATAACTCGAAAAACATTTTCTTGCATCGACAAGATGAAAAACTGTTCAAATTTTTGGGAAGGCAGGTCCAGCGGTTTTGGACTCTCAATAAAAATAAGTTAAAAAATGTCATTTGGTGGTCAGAAATGTTTATTGGACATACGTATATTAAATTATCAGATATTTTATAGAGATTTTAATAATGTGTACACATTTTGTGTGAATTTTTTTGGGCTCCTACCAAGGTTTTTAATTACAGTACGACAACAATTTGCCTTAAGGCACGATGCAATGCACCCCATTAGCTTAAATTAAACGACAATGGACAATTATGTATATCGATAATATTTCACAATTATAAATACAGATAATATTATATGTATAAGTAAAAAATGACGATCTTTATCGTTAACAATTATCGTAACCGTCCCGAATTATCCCAACTACTACATATGATGAGTCTCAACAATGTTGCCATGTCCGAAGTTGCTTCCTATGCATGTTGTTCAGTATTTTGTTGGTCACAAGACCAAGTACCGCTAGGTGCCCTACCAGGCGAACAGACGCCATCCGTTCGGTACGGTGTTAGAAATGCCGCGAATGCGTGCAACAGTACAAAGCGCGAACAAATCGTCGACCGGTGTATTAGGAGAACAGGCCGTTTCTGACAATATGTCAGTCGAGTGCCGACCGCAGGGCAAGGTTACGGCTAAATCGCGCATCGGCCCCTGTTCTGTCCGGACACTTTATTGGAGTGGCTGAAATAAAATGCAGATTTCGAAGGTTTCGCATATCATAAATGTTCAATGTCGCAAGAGGAAGCCCGAAATGGGAGTGATTCATGAACCGTGTTGAAGTATAGTAAGTAATATTATAATATATGAATGTATATCATTTAACTTCTCGAAGGAGATGTTTGTTTTCGAAAATAATACGATTTGCTAATATAATGTTTTTATAATTTTAGCGTTTCGTCTTGAATCGAATAAGGTCAATTTTGGAAAATGTATGTGTGTGTATGGGACAAAAACGTCTGGACCGATTTCAAAAATTTAGAAACCATTCGATGTAACTCGATACGGACTAGCTTTTAACAGTTTTATGCGATAATCGGCCGAGCCGTTTCATATTTAATTTTTCGTCCACAAAACAACAATTTTCAATCAATTTTAAAAATTCAATAACTATTCGAAAGAAATTGACTTCTCGTTGATTAGTTTTTGGTAAAGATCGGATAAGGCTTTATTTATAATTGAATGTTAACATTTTTTTGACGATCTTGTGAAACTTTGTATAACGATAGAGTTTCTAGTCTGAAATATAATACTAAAATATTATAGGTCTACGATAAGCGGTTGAATTAAAAAAAAGTCATAAATGATTAGAATTTCGCCGTGAGCAAGCGATTCTAATAAAAATCTGTGCCATATGTACGTTCTTTGGTGTTTCGTAGATACTGATTACAGTTGGCGTCCACACTTAAATAAAATTGATTTTCAGAAATGAAATCGAAAATGAATGAAAACTCGAAATGAATGAAATTAAATGTGTTAAACAAATTTAATTTAAACCATTACCGACATTATAGTATGTTTGAAATTCATAAATTGAAAATCGCATTGATTTTTAGTAGAAGCAAAAAAATTATTTTTGACATAACCATTTGAACATTTTACCTAAATACCTGAATATCAACTTTTCATGATTAATTTGATTTTGTACACGTATTGGTAAGTTAGCAACTTGCGCCTTAAGCCAAAATACTTTAGATTTAAAAACATGTAGCGTTTTATTGAATAAGCTGAATTATAGTATATAGTTAAGATATATGAGTTTATTATCCAAGGGTATTATATATATATATTGTTAGCTTAATCATCCAAATATGTGTGGCAAAAAAAGAAAAAAATCAACAATTTCCCAAAAAAGACCACATTTCAATGGTGGCAAAATGCTACTTACAACTAGTTTTAATATTAGTTCAGTTAGAAATTATTTCAGAACGAGTGATGACTGATTATTCATGTCAAAGAAAATCTATTTCATAAATATGACCATTAACCAAGTTTTTTTGAACATTGTGTGTGGCAAGTTTTTTATACATTATTTTATTTTACTTTTATTATTTTGGTTCTTTTGGGTGCTTTCTTATCATTTTTTAATTGTACATCTAAAATTTTTAATTTCCAGATATTTTTTATATTATATTTAATATTATGTTTTACAGTTTTATCGACTGAACAAAGGTCGAAATAGAATTTGAAAACCTAAATTAACATTCAAAACACAAATCAAATTCTGAATCTAAATTATTCAATTTGCTACATGCAAATTTGCAAGAACAATTTGCAAACAATATCATATATAAAAATATATATAAAAAATATATCTCACTACAACTTACGATGCCACTTGAGAATTAAATCACAAGAACTATCACATTATTCGAAATAATGAGAAAATCAGCATCATCAGCAAAAAACATTACTAGAATCTAGTTGGAATCACTTTCGTCATCAACAGCAAGGATGTTCCCGCTTCACATCTACCAGGGCATCATGCGCTCTGCGTGGTTTTTTGAACTTCTCGTCACATCTTTAGATCTGTATTCGAACATTAGTTTACTAGATATGTTCCATCTTCAAAATTTATTCAATATTTTAATTGAATAGAGTTTTCAAGTAAAAAGTGGTAATAGCATCGACTCAAAAAACATCGTAAATCTAGAAGACTAACATCGTTGAATTAATGAGTCTCAATAATATCTCAATTCTTACTCCATAACTTTTATACTAGGAAAATATTGAAAAATTATAATATAGATAATATAAAAGATAATAATTTGTGGTGGAGATACAATCTTTTGCAATATTTAATCTCAAACTTAAGAAATACGATATAAAATATAATAAATATCTCCAGTGCATTGTCAGATTTCTGAATAAGGCTTTGGAAATAGACAATAAATAATTAATTCTCGATTAGCTTATCCTTGGCTCCGTGATTTAAGTTTAGTTATTTTCAAAGGCTCCAGGTTCTATTCCCGTCTCGGGCAGCGTGATAACAAGCAGTATTGATGTTAGATTTTACTTGAAAATATATATCTAAATAAAATTACAAGTAAAAGCATTTCGGGGCATTGCTAAATATGTCTGTAGAAATATATCTAATAAGAATCTTGCTTTCAAATAAAACCTGAGGCTTAGGACGAAGAATTAAGTAAAAATGTAAATTGTGTATAATTACTCAAAAATACAAGCCGGATAATTGCGT